ATAAGTGGGTTGAGAACATTCTCCTAAAGTTTTTCTGGTTCTCGAGCTAATAATCCCCCGCCAAAACTTCCACTTGTTGGTACGTGAGACGCAGATGTGCATGGCAGTTGATACCACGTTTCTGAGGTTGCACTTGCGCAGGGAATACACTAACAAAATTCCAGAGTAAGCTTGCGTGGTTGGCGAGTAGAAATACTTGGACAGACGAACATACACACAAAAACAAGGTCGTTGCAATATCCGTTTTGCTGCCTGTTGCAGCGCTGTAGTGCTGCACGGCAAAACGAATATAAATTGGGAATTAAAATTTTAAGATTACCAATTTTGAATATTTTCTTGATCAGAGATATTCGTATCTGCTGCGTCCCATGAATAAGTTGCTCTGCCGGGTTCAGAAACAGCTTCAGAAGATGAACTGGTACTGAACTTTTGCCGCTTTATACCCTGCATGATTGCCTGTACTATATGTATAAGATCTTGATCAAGCGCTACTTCTGGATCGGTTGCTGGCAAAAAACGAGGATGACTCCGTTCGAATAGCGATGATTTGGGAAGATCTGGGGAAGAATCAAAAAGCTGCTTGTCTCTGCATCCGATTTTTTCACTACAACCAGAATTATCTAAAACTATGTCGACTTTCCGGAGATTCTTGCTAGTTGAAGGCATCTCAGTTTCTACATCGCCCAGTCCGGTTAAGCTCAGCTGAGCTGTCGACAAAATGTTTTGTAGCTTCTGCTGAACATCCGAAGTTTTTAAATAATTTCGACGTAATACTTCAGCGTAAGAGATTTTACTTGGTTGCTGAAGAGCCTTTCGCAACAGTGGATACGGCAAGTTTTGCTGCTCATTGGTTACTATGCTAGCTGAGTCCTCACTAGGCAGTAAATAGTTCTGCACCGAGACCTTCTGATACCGAGGATTCTGCTCGGTGTGATAATGCGAATGAGAAGACAAGTCCAGAGGCTGCTCAGCTGAAAACAATTGCTTCGGATTTTGGGCGATGGCCCTTTGAAAGAATCCGGCATTCTCGCTACTGCAAAGTGCATTGTTCGCATCAATGGTTAAAGACTGATCATATTGAGAATTTGCTTCGTCTTCCATTTCGACATTAGCATTAACCGCAGCACCAGTAACATTTTTTAGCCGTACCGAATAATCAGGAATAAGAACTCTGTTGGATAAAT